TTCATTCCTCCTACTCCTATCATCTCAGTAAACTAAATGTTCTCCTTCCTTTTGATACATGTCAAGATACTAGCTTGTGAATCTCTATTACCATCACCCCCCCCCCGTGGCTGAACACTTATGGACACTGTAAGACTTTTTGGCACACTGCAAACCTTGGGGGAAGGTACACAGACAAGAGCTAGCATGTACACTAAGGAAGCACTGACCACCTCCTAGGAAGACTCCAGGATTATTGGGAATTTAACTTCTATATATATTTTCTTCAGTGATTTATATGGTCTTTCCTCATCTACCACTTATGATGGAGGCCTTATTTTTATTTATTTATTGACCACAGAGGTAAGCTCATTTACGTGTATGTTCAGTGGCCACTTTCTAAAATGACATCCCATTAAAATCCTACTGTAAATACCAGAGTGGTTGTAAAAGCCTTTTATACTTATTCAGGATTATATGTCACGAACTAGTAGATGATGTATCAAATCTCTACCCTCCAGCCCATTTGGAAAACACTTTGAGAGTGTATTAAAGACACCCAGGAGGGATGATCATGTACAGGCATACCTCAGAGATATTCCAGGTTTGGTTCCAGACCACTGTAATAAAGTCAATATTTCAATTAAGGAAGTGCATTTTTTGGTTTCTCAGTGCATAGAAAAATTTTGTTTACACTATACTGTAGTCTATGAAAGGGGTTCTGGTGGCATAGTGCCTAAGGCATTTGACTGCTAACCAGAAGGTTGGCAGTTGAAACCAACCAGCCACTCCTTGGAAGGAAGATGGGCCAATCTACTTCCATAAAGATTTGCCACCTTGGAATGCCAATAGGGATTGCCATGAGTAAGAATCAACTCCATGGTAGTGAGGTGTTTTTTTTTTAAAGTCTATTAAGTGTGTAATAACAGCATTATGAAAAATTTGAATTATTGTTATAATTACCAAAATGTGATAGAGAGACGAGAAGTGAGTATATGCTGTTAGAAAAACAGCACCAATAACATTGCCTGACACAGGGTTACTACAGTCAATTTGTAAAAAACACCGTATCTGCAAAGCACAATAAAGTGAAACACAATAAAATGAGGTATGCCTGTAGTAGCTTCCTAGGTTTGCTACAAGTTACCACAATCTGAGTAGTTTAAAACAACAGAAATTTATTCTCTCTCAATTCGGGAGCCAGCAGTCGAAAACTAAGGAGTTGGTAGGGTTGATTCCTTCTTGAGCTTCTGAGAGAAAATCTGTTCCATGCATCTCTTTTTGGAGGTCACCATCAACTCATGACAAAGTATATCCAAAGTGAACTTTTATGTCAAAGGAGCTGTTACTATCATGGGCTTCAAGGAGGGGGATGGGGCTTCCAGGAGACATCTACAGGAAGCAGGAATGCTGTGAGCTGGTGAAGGGCAGGTGGTTCGGGGCTGTTCCACTCAGAGGACAGCCTTCAGAGTTGGAGGCAATGAAGAGCTGGTCAGCAGGCCAGTTTCCAGTGAGGAAGGAGGGCATACTGAGGAAAACCAACGACTGGACAAAAATGCCAGCACCTGGGCAGAGTCAGCTCTCAAGGAACTCTGGGGGTTGGTCTGGACAGGTGGACCCTAGGTAAATAAAGCCCACAGAGACTCCCCAACTTGTGTGTTATTATCACCTTCTTTAAGTCTCATTTTAGTACATTGGCCACAGGGTCCCTCTTTTTGTTACCTGATTTTATGGAGCAGCGAGAAATGAATCAAGAGGCAGAAATGCCTGAGGGAGGAGACATGGGAACAGTGTGTACTCTAGATGAAATCAGACCAATAGTCTAGTCCCATTCCTGTTACTTACTAGCCATATGATCTTCGGGAAAATTCCTAAATGCGATAACCATTAAATTCCTCATTTGTAAAATGGGTTTGATAAACGTTTTGTAGAACTGTTGGAATGTACACTATGTACATAAAATACATGGTACAGTGCCTGGCATATATAGTATCTGGAATGATTGACAGTTACTTCTAATATTATATTGATCTCAGATCCTACAACCTCACTCTTCTATGGGAACTGTTATCGACAACATCTCAGAGAATATGCAACTCAACAGAACACAGAATACCCAATCAGCCAAAAACAATGCTTAGTTACTAAAACTCTGTACATTTTCCCTCTAAGAAGAGCTATTATTTAATTCAGTGTGAGGACACTTTCCCAAGTGAATATAACCCCAAATTCTTATAACCAGTCAAAGACCATTTCCTTCTCTCCCTTCAGATACTCTTCCACCCAAACCACTATTTTTCATTTCATTCCCACTCCAATCAATCCATCCTTTCCTTAGTTTGACCAAATTATTCAAAATAACCTAATTTTTTTTTTAAAAAAAATTTAATAGAGTGGATTCTGGCTTTCCCAGACATACGAAAATTATGCCAAGCTAGTGGTTTCTGAGCATCACTTCAAGGAGTACCACTCTTATTTTTTTTGCAGATGATGTATATTAGTTCATGCCCCGTGTTTAACTACCCCATGAGGGGATTTCTGAATTATCCACAATCCAAACTGCTAGCAGTTTTCAAAGACACACCATCTTGGACCTGCCACCCACCACCAGCTTAACTGATTTGACAGTAATTGGTTCGGCTCTCATCTGGAGACCCACCTCCTCAGTCCTTCTTTTCATTTGGTCTTTAGGTCTTAAAAGTGTATCTCACCATCCTCTTTATATGATTGCTGACTCTAAACTCTACCACTTCTATCAGTAGAAGTATCTTACTTACCTTAGGATCCCCACTACTAACACAGTGCCTTCCAGAGAGCAGATGCTCAATTACTGTGTGATGAATAAATGAGTCAGTGAGCAAGAACTTTAATTTATTACAATTTCTCTTATGTTCATGAATAAACCCAGCAAATCCAAGTATGTATCTTGAATTTTACAGAACAGACTAAAAGTGACAAAGAAATCTAAAATTAATCATCTTTTACATTCTTTTTTCTGTACTGTAGCGCTGAATTCTTTCTCATTTCATGTTATCTTGTTTCCAGATGATAAAATAAGATGGACACTTTCCCAATTTGATTTATAAATTGGTTGTTATGGATTGGATTGTGTCCCTGAAAAAGTTATGCAAAAGTCCTAACCCCTATACTTATAAATACAACCATGTTTGGAAATGACAGCTTCTTTTCTTATGTGATGATGACATATCGTGCAGTGTCTAATAAAAAGACTAGAATAGAGACACACATACACAGGGGGAAAAGACCATGTGAAGATCCATTCCAAAGGCAAGGAAACCCAGAAGAAACTTACAAGGAAGGGATCCACCCCTAGAGTCAATTTGGACTTCCAGCCTCCAAAACTGTAGGACGATAATTTCTGTTCTTTAAAGATCCCATCTTACGGTATTCTTGTTACCTCAGCACTAGCAAAGTAAGAAAATAGAGAAACTCCTACTCTTAAGCTGGATAAACAACAATAAATGTGACTAATGTCATTCATAAACTTGTATTTGGAGCTAATTAAACCTGCTATTGAAAGGAACATTTGTCTATGGTCAACTGATTTTTGACAAGGATGCCAAGTCCCTTCAATGAGGAAGGAAGTTTTTACCAATAAATGGTGCTGGGAAAACTGGATTTCCACATGCAGAGGAAAGAATTAGGATCCATGCTTCACACCATATGCAAAACCAATTCAAAATGGGTAAAGGGTCTAAATGTGAATACTAAAACCAGAAAATTATTAGAAAAAAATAGAGAGATGTGGCTGTGGGGACTAATTTTTAATGATGGATCATCAGATATGACAACCAAAGCACAGGCAGCAAAATCATAACAGATAAATGGGACCTCATAAACATTTTTTTCCCCATCAAAGGACTATATCGAAAAGTGAAAATATAACCTACAAATTGGAAGAAAATTCTTGGAATTATATATCTGGTAAGAGTCTAA